TGCATGTAACTCATGGCTGAAACCTAGCTACCCAAGAGTCTGAGTGAGATCTAAGGGTCACAGTTCAAAGCCAGCCCAGGCAGAAAAGTCTGTGAGAGTTTTATCTCCAATAAATTCAAGACAGGAAGTGGAGCTGTGGCTCACGTGATAGAGTAGTAGCCTTGAGCAAAAAAGCTCAGGAAACAGCCCCCAAGGCCCTGGGATTCAAGTCCCAGGACTGGCACAAAATAAATCATAATTTATAAAGTTTTGTTTGCGCTTATCAGCCTTGCATTTTTTTCTTACTAATTTTATCTGATAGTACTGGCATATTAATTTAATCATACAATAATACCTTAGCCCACTGAGGCTTTTTTTTTTTTTTTTAAGGTCGGTTAGGTGTTTTGAAGTTAGGGTCTGGGCACTGTTCTTTAGCTTTTTTGCTCAAGGCTAGTTTTCTGGTGGTAAATTGGAGACAAGAGTCAGATTTCTGTCCAGGCTGGCTTTGAACAGCAATCATCAGATATCAGCCTCCTGAATAAGTAGGAGTACAGATGTGAGTCACCAATGCTTGGCTGAGGTATTCTTTTCTTCCAGAACAAATCTGCAGAATGAAACCACTGGGGTTCTAGTTTCTATTTCAAACACTCCTAAATTCAATATATAACCATAAAGATAAAAGCAGACCATAATCCACTGCAAATGTGACTTGCAAATGAAAATACAAGGATCCTAGTGCTATAAGCTTCTCCATGTCACTAAATCTTACTAAGTCAGAGGGAAGGCTGCTTTTGGTTAGTAACTGAACTCAAAGCTGATGAGGGGATAAACATTACCAAAGACCCAGGCCCAACTTGAGAGGACCCAAACCTAGAGCTTAATCAGAGCTCCAAATTTTTGTCTATATGGCAACTTTCAGTAGCTGTATTTCAGAAGTAAACAGAATGGTTAAGAGTCTAAAGCATATAAACTATTGATTAGTATTACTTCTCACAGCCACTCTAATAAGATATAGTACAGTGGGAAGACAGTGAGGAAATAAAGCAGGGCCAATATCTGGCATGGGATCAAACAAACTTGGGGGCTGTTAGAAGGATTGAAAAAAAAAAAAATCAATGGTTTGTTGGGTGCCAATGGCTCACACCTGTAATCCTAGCTACTCAGGAGGCTGAGATCTGAGGATCACAGTTCAAAGTCAACCCAGGCAGGAACGTCAGTGAGACTCTTATCTCCAATTAACCACCAGAAAACTGGAAGTGGTGCTGTGACTCAAGGGTAGAGCACATGCCTTGAGCTGAAGAGCTCAGGGACAGTGTCCAGGCCCAGAATTCAAAACCCAAAGCCAAAAAAACAAATTAAAAAAAAAAAAAATCAACTTCGTGATACTGGGAGTATGGCACTGCTCAGTGGTATAGTGCTTGCCTGGCATGCCTGAGGTCCAGGGTTCAGCAGCCAGCACCACAAAAACAAAAACCTTCTCAGACAGCCATATAATTTTAAAATCTAAAGCATGTAAGGAACAAGTGAAAATACAACTATTCCCATGAAATTTTAAAGTTTAAAACTGAATGTCTTTTTATTATTATTTTTGTTCGTTGTAGGGTTTGAACTCTGGGCCTGGGCATTGTTCCTGAGCTCCTCAGCTCAAAGCAAACACTCAATCACTTGAGCCACAGTACCACCTCCTGTTTTCTGGTGATTAATTGGAGATAAGAGTCTCACAGACTTTCCTGCCCAGGATGGCTTTGAACAGCGAGCCTTAAGATCTCAGCGCTCAGCCTCCTGGGTAGCTAGGATTGCAGGTATGAGCCACCAGCACCCAGCTGAATGTCTTACTATTTTATTGTAAAGAAATAATTGTAACTTTGTGTACCCACATAGAACCTAGATGACCACTGAGGTCTATGAGTCTAAGTGCTTAAGAAACATTATACAGAATCTAAGCAGTTCCTACTCTAAATTTTTAGAAATGTCACAGCATTCCTGTTGCTATGACTCACACCAGAGCTAATTTATAAACCACAGCCAATCATGTTTATAGGAAAAATATGGATACATTTCATAACTAAATTTTAAACATAAAATTAACTACATACTTTTTTTTAATTGGCTACACTTTTTTTTTTTTTGGTAGGTCGTGAGGTTTGAACTCCTAGCCAGGAATCCAGGTGTAAGCCACTGGTGCCTGGCTTACACTTCTTTTTTTTTTTTCTTGTCGGTCGTGGGGCTTGAACTCTGGGCCTGGGCGCTGTCCCTCAGCTCTTCAGCTCAAGGCAAGCGCTCTACCACTTGAGCTACAGCGCCACTTCCGGTTTTCTGGTGGTTTATTGGAGATAGGAGTCTCACGGTCTTTCCTGCCCGGGCTGGCTTTGAACTGCGATCCTCAGATCTCAGCCTCCTGAGTAGCTAGGATTACAGGCGTGAGCCACCAGCGCCCGGCCACTTTTTTTTTTTAAGATGTCAAAGTAACTGGTCTTTTGATCTAAGGAACAGGTTTTAAAATTTTTGATTATATGGGAAGGTGGCTCAGTGGTAGAGTGCTTGCCTTTCCTGCATGAGGCCCTAAGTTCGATTCCTCAGCACCACATAAACAAAAAAAGCTGTAAGTGGTGCTGTGGCTCAAGTGGCAGAGCACTAGCCTTGATCTGAAGAGCTAAGGGACAGTGCCCCGGACCAGACAGAATTCAGGCCCCACGACCAAAAAACAAAACAAAACAAATTGGTTTTGTATTAGACTAACAGTAATATGTTTAGCTTCCTAATGTTGGCTAAACTAGAAAAACAGTAATGTAAAGTTAGCTCACAGTAGCGAGAGATGTAACTCAGTAGTAGAGCACTGGACTAGTATTCATGAGGTCCTTGGTTCCTTTCCAAACACTGCAAACAGCCAATCTCATGTGTGCATGTATGTGAAATATGCATGTGTATATATATATATATATATATATATATATATATATATATATATACACACACACCCTATATATCACAGGTGACATCACCTAGAATCCTCAAAAAGAAGTAATGCATTTGCTGAATACTAACAGCTACTTAAAGATAAAATATAACTTAAAAACAGAAATGCATTAAAATACAATTGCTTTTAGTTTCTAACTAAAGTATTGGGCACAGCCATAAAATACTTTAACTTCAATTTTGAAGGTTTTAAACTTTTGAGACTACAGTAAAAATCATGATAGTTTTCAAAAAAGCATCTTTGAATTTTAGCTGTAAGAGCAATATATATTCATAAATGTACCCATACATGTTTAAAAAAAAGACAATTTTCCTAAGAATTTAGAAGGTCATAAAGTCCTACCAGTCTTCCCTAACAACCTTATCCTTTGTGTTAGAGTTAACCAATATGAACGTTTTTTTTTTTTGTGCATCCCTATGTAATTTCCATATGTTTACGAATACATAAATATCCTTAATACAGAAAACACACAAGAGAGACTTGCTCTTTCTTCCCCTCAACAATTCAGTTCCCAGTGAGTTTTAAAGTTCAAGTAACATTTATTCTAATTCATATGTCACATTTATGAGAAGGAAGGAGCAAGAAGAGTAACAAAATGTTATACTACCAAAGTGGTTAGGAATCACTATAGCACTCAACCAAAATAAGTTTGCTGACCGCACCCCCCAACGCAATATATAGTTTAATGGGGTGGTGGTGATGGAAAGAACCCACTTTCAAATAGTTTCTAAATCACTCTTTGAGCATGATTTTAACAAATTAAGACTACACTTGAGCTGGGAAGGTGGCTCAGTGGTAGAGCGCTTGCCTTGCATGCATGAGGCCCTGGGTTCGATTCCTCAGCACCACATAAGCAAAAAGAAAAAAGCCAGAAGTGGCGCTGTGGCTCAAGTGGTAGAGCGCTAGCCTTGAGCTGAAGAGCTGAGGGACAGCGCCCAGGCCCAGAGTTCAGGCCCCATGACTGGACCCCCCCCTCCCCCCCAAAAAAAGGTGTTTTAGCCAGGCGCTGGTAGTTCACACCTATAATCCTAGTTACTCAGGAGGCTGAGATCAGAAGATCACAGTTCAAAGCCAGCCTGGGCAGGAAAGTCCATGAGACTCTTTATCTCCAATAAACCACCAAAAAACCAGAAGTGGCACTGTGGCTCAAGTGGTAGAGCACTCGCCTTGAGCTGAGGGACAGCACCCAGGCCCAGAGTTCAGGCCCCATGACTGGACCCCCCCTCCCCCCCAAAAAAAGACTACACTTGGGGTTGGGGAGGATGAGGATGAAGGTGGAGAAGGAGGAACCAAAACATTATCTCTCCCCTCCCCCCCAAAGTGAGTGGAATTAACACTTGGAAGGATCCTAGATCTCCCAAACATCAATCATCTCAAGGAACATGCTGGTATCCGCGGGGGCTGTGTGTGGGCCAATGTACCAGAAGACAAAGCACAAAGTATTCTGCAACCTTTAAAACACAAACAAAACCTCAAGAAACACAGGCTGACAGAAGGGTTAAGAAAAAGGGTAACAAATCCTCCTGAAGCCCAGCGCCAAGAACAGGGGCCCAATGCATGACAGCACTTCCCTTTTCTTCTTCTCCTTCTTCAGTAAACGCGTTTCCTGCCTGCCATTCGATACCTTCAGCTATACAGGAAGAGGAAGGCCTCAAGGTCTCTCTCCCCGTCACACACCGGTGAAGATAGGAAATGGAACCCTCCTCGCTACACGCAACAGGCAAACTGCTGTTTGCCCCTCCGGCAAAAAGCCGCAGCTCCAGCTAGGAGCCGACCCCTCCGGGCCACAGGAAAGGGGTCGGGCCCAGGTGTCCGTCCGCCACGATCGGGGCTGCGGAGCTGGCTGGCTATCAAGGGGGTGGAGGGGGGAAGGACCGGGCTGCAGAAAGACCCCGGCCCGGCCTGCTCCTCCCGACGCACGCAGGGGCGGGAAGGGTCGCCCCGCGCCCGCTCGCCCCTGGGCCCTGGACAGCCGCCCGGAGCCAGGAGCCCTTGCGCCTCGTGCACAGGCCGGCGGCCTCGCCGCATCCCAGCCGGTGCTTACCCCGGTGCCGTTGTCGCACACCACCACCTTCCTGCCCTGGCTGTCCATCGTCCGCCCTGAGGAGAGCCGCTTCGGTCCGCACAGCCCACTACCGCTGCCACCGCCCGGCTCGAACCTCTTCCTCCTCCTCCTCCTCCTTCTTCGAGGCCCCTCCCTCGGCTCAACTTTCTTCTCCCTCCCCCAACCGGAAGTGACCGCTCTGCCCCGCCCGCCCGCCATTTATCAGACAGCCCGGTGCAGAAGGGGCAGGACGGAAGGCAGGAAGCGGAGATCGGCAGCGGTGGCGTCCAATAAGAAGACAGCTGCCCAGGTGTGACGTCACGGATGCCGCGCCCGAATAGTCTTACAGCCTGGCTTCCGGCGCTCTGTCTGGTGTTAATGGCGGCTGACTTCTGGGTTGCTGGAATTAAGGGCGCGGCGTCCTGGATTCCCGAAGATGCTGGCAGGTGAAACACAACGTGCGTGCCGCGAGGTGGCCGAGGAATGTGGCGGCGCCGCTAGCTGGGAGGACAGGGAGCAAACCTGGAGGCCCTAGGATGTTCTATCATTGAACATGGCTTGGTGTGCCTGGGTTCCAGGCCTTTTCAGGGCACAGACGTACATTCCCAGGCTGTCCCTCGCCATTTGCCTTTTCCAGTAATTCCTTGTTGCGCACACCTTCAATTTATGTGACTATTTGAACACAGAGCCTCAGTTTTGAAATCAGGAAAACAGCGTTTCAAATCTGGCCCTGCCAAGAGTACCATCCCCACGTCCCCGCGCGGAGATAACCTTTATCTCTGTGGGTGCTTGTGAATATAAAATTCGGTGCATAGAGTGGTAACTATTATTAATTTTATTGCATTTTTCTGAACATATGGCTCTTTATATCCATAATGGCGCTACTTCCTTTTTTTTAAATCACTTGGCAGGCTTCTTTCTACTCATGCCCTAAGATCTAGCTTGTTTATATCACTCTCAAGGCCTATGAAACCCTCAAGGTGTTCTTTACTCCCCGTCCTTGCTATTACTTTGCCATGGGTATGTGAATAACAGCATTGTGCTTATTATAGTCAAGTATTTATTGGATTAATGACACACATAAAAACGTTTTATAGTTTTTGAGAAGCAAGAACTAAAATTATGCCTTCTACATAACTGTTCTACATATGACATTTAAAATAAAACTTGAATCATGAACTCCAACTTGGTATTCTTATAACACTAGAAGCCTCTCAATTTCTACATTCTTCTTTTATTGACCAATGGTTTTCAAACCTTTCTAAAAATATAGAGTACTTTAACTGTATGGATCCTAATGCATAAAATAGATTTGAAAAATAATAAAGCTGTCATAGATAGTTGCATTTCAAAGTTTGAGAGGTTAGGATGGGTAGGAAGCTTCAGGAACATTTCTTCCCTTCATCAGTTTCAACAGTCTTTAGGTCTTTAAGAATAGTGCATTCATCCAAAAATTCTTTGAATGTCAGTGTAATGGAGCAGGCCTTTTGTCCCAGCTACTTCCAAGCCCGAAGATGGAGTATTGAGTTCTAGGCCAGCCTAGCCAACATGAGTATAAAATCCATACCTCTCCTTTGTGGTTCCAGGACCCAGCACTTTGTAGTCTTCCTTAGAAGTACAATTAATTGGTGTTAGTAAATTAAACTCAAACATTTCTATGTTATTTTACTTTTTCTCTTAAGGAATTAAGTGAATTGCTAGTTTTTACTTTTCATGAAATACTTGCTTCTCATTATTAGAACAATACATGCAAATGATAGAAAATGTTGACATCTCAATGCACTGCTGCAAATTCAGCAAAACCCACACCAGATATAATGTTTCATGTGACATATAGTTTGGTACCTTGTACATTGGTTATATCATGGTCATTACACTTTCCTTGAAATGTAACTCACATTTTAGGAAGTTCTATTTTTTGAGGTGATGGGGTAGGAGAGGACTTCATTTTTAGGCCTATGTGTATATCATTTTGCACAAAATTTTTGTTGGTAAAGATCCCCATTTAATACGTGAGAAAATGGGTCTTTAAAATAGTAACACGAGGCCAGGAGTATAACTTGCTTAACAAATGCTAAAGCACTTGCCTAGCATGTTTGATCTCTCTAGGTTGGACCTCTGCTACAAAAATATGTGGGTACATACATATATACATATGTAAATCCAGAGTAAAATAGAAGAAAAAATTTTTCTTAGCAGTTAAGGCAAAGGTTGCTTAGATATGACACCCAAATTATGAAATACAAAAGAAAAAATGGTAATTGGAGTTCATAGAAATTTAAAACTTACTTTTTTTCTATTAAAAACAACAACAAAAAGAAACACAAACCACATGCCAATGGTTCATACCTGTAATCCTAGCTACTCAGAAGGCTGAAATCTAAGGTTTGTAGTTTGAAGCCAAGCAGAGCAGGAAAACTGTTATCTCAAAAAAGCCAGAAGTAGAGCTAGACTCAAGTGGTAGAGTGCTAACCTTGAGCAAAAAGCTCAGGGACAAGCACCTGGTCCCTGAATTTAAGCTCCAGGATATGCACACACAAAATGTCACAATGCCAGCCATATATCTAACAAGAACGTTGTATCCAGAATAACATTTAAGAAGGCAAATTGTCTAATTTTAAAATGGTCAAATATTTTGAGTATTTTTACCAAAGCAGACTTATGAATGGCTAATAAGCACATGAAAAAATGATCCTCATATTAATCAGTAGGTAAATGCACATACGCTCTATATAAAATGTTTATATACATATGTTATAAAACTGATACGCAAATATTTTACTAGCTGACTTCCTGAATTAAATTGGCATTTTTATTTATTTATTTTTTGGTCCAGTCGTGGGGCCTGAACTCTGGGCCTGGACGCTGTCCCTCAGCTCTTCAGCTCAAGGCTAGTGCTCTACCACTTGAGCCACAGCGCCACTTCCGGCTTTTTTCTTTTTGCTTATGTGGTGCTGAGGAATCTAACCCAGGGCCTCAGGCATGCAAGGCAAGCGCTCTACCACTAAGCCACTTTCCCAGCCCCTAAATTGGCATTTTTGTCTGCTTTTAGATGCTCTGGGTGTCAACTTTCTATGCCTGTGACAAAATAGTTGCAGAAATAGCTTAAAAGGAAGAAGTTCATTTTGGTTCATGGTTTCAGAGATTCAAGTTTATGATCTCTTGGTTCCATTACTATGGGTCCTACCCTGGAGGGTGTGGTGGAACAGAACTGCTCATATCATAGTGACTACGAAGTAGAAGTGGAGGGGAGGAGGAGGGAATTGGACTAGGGACAAAATATACCCTTCAGAGGCCTATCTCCAGTGAATGACTTTCTCCAATTAGGCCCTACCTCTGAGTAGCTCCTTCAGTTATGAACTCACCAGATTGAATCCCTCAGGATGCAATCACCTTATCTCTGAACTATTGCATTGGGTACTAAGCTTTCCACACATGAGCCCCCAGGGGACATTCCAGTTCCACACTTACACTGTAATTCTCTGTGTACATAATTGTGTCCCAGAACTGGAGGAAAATGACTCTAAAGAATTATTGTGTATTAAAAATTCTAGTAGGATGGGCTGGGAAGGTGGCTCAGTGGTAGAGCGTTTGCCTTGCATGCCTGAGGCCCTGGGTTTGATTCCCCAGTACCACATAAGCAAAAAGAAAAAAAGCTGGAAGTGGCGCTGTGGCTCAAGTGGTAGAGTGCTAGCCTTGAGCTGAAAAGCTAAGGGACAGCGTCCAGGCCTCACGACCGGACCCCAAAAAAAAAATTCTAGTAGGATTGAATTATTTCCATATAATCAATTATTAATCTTTTACTGAGGAAATTCCACATGCACACAGGAGTAAAAAGTATAATTGTACTCAATGGTATAATGTATGGTTAACATTCGTGAGGCCCTGGATTTTATTCCCAGTACTACACGCACACATACAGTATAGCCTAATGAATCTCATGAACCCATCTCCTATGTTCAGTAGCCATCAACTTTCTGTCATTTTTGTATCATCAGTCTACAGTTTATTTATTTTTGTTTTTATTTTTATTTTTCCAAGACAATTCTTGCTATTTTCCCAGGCTGGTTTTGAACTCATAGACTCAAAGGATCCCTTTACATCAGCTTCCCAGGTAGCTGGTATTACAGGATTCATCAGCATGTATAACTTGTTGTTCTTGTTTGCTAGAGTATTTTAACATATCTGAAGCATCACACTCTTCTTTTTCAATACTTTAGATGAAAAAATTTAAAACAATTATGATACCATTATTATAACCAACAAAATTGATAGCAGTTTTTTAATTACTGGATACTCTATCATAATCCTGTTTTTCCCAGTTGTCTCAAAAATTTCCTTTATGCTTTTTTTTAAATCAGGATTTAAACAAGTTTTTTTTTTTAATTGTTATTATAAAGATGATGTATGGAGGAAGTGGCGCTGTGGCTCAAGCAGTAGAGCACTCGCCTTGAGCTGAAGAGCGCAAGGACAGCGCCTACGCCCAGAGTTCAAGCCCCACAACCGACTGGAAAAAAAAAAAAAAAAAGATGTATGGAAGTGTTATAGTTACATAAGTCAGGTAAAGAGTACATTTAGTTTTGGACAATGTCATCCCTTCCTTTACTCTCTCCCAGGTTTTCCCTCCCATCCCCATCCACAAGTTGTATAGTTAATTTTCAATATAGTGTTCAGTAAGTACCATTTAAACAAGGTTTTCAAATTATATTTGGTTTGTATGTTTTCTCAGATTGTTTTAGTGTGTAACATTTCCCTCTTTCTTTTTTTTTTAAATACCATTTTTGTTGTTGAAGATTAGTTCATTTGGCATATAGAATTTCTCACATTGTAGATTTGGCTGATTATATCCACAATGTTGTTCTCTTTCCTCTAGCCTCCATGTTCTTTATAAACTAGTAATTACATTTAGAAGTATAATTAGATTTACTTTTTGTAATTTTGGCAAGATACTCATAGAAGTTAGCATGGATTGGATTTGCTTTTGCATAACATTTAGAAGAATATGTTATCTGGGAGTCCCACATTTAGTGATATTAAGATCATTCAGTGGATTCTGGTGCTGTCAGATGATTTATTACAGAGTTCTTCAAAAACTTGTCTCTTTTTTTAGCAGCCAGTAATTGTTGCCTGATTGGACAAAAAAACATGAT